TGAAATTATTTGCGAAAACTGACAGATTTACTAACACCGCGTTATCGAATCTCAGAATGGTTACAGGCTCCTCGGGTAGTTATGCAAATCTGAGCTCAATTATTGCTTCATCTGATGAAGTGATAAACAATAATCCAGCCAAGGCGTAAATACCTCGAGTTAATATTCGAGTTAATATAGTTTTCCTTTTATAAAGTAAAAGGAAAATTCTTTCTATGCGAAAAGAGGAATTATGCTAACATAATTCGAGGTTGACTTGTTTTAAAAATTGGTGTTAAAACCAATAAACTCTACGAAAATTGTGTTCGGAAGAAAAAACATTTAAACACCGTGTTATTATCACCACGAAGATGATTTATATGTTAACGGCTTTTCTGTATTAAGGTTACTACAATTTGTAAGTAACTAGATATGTGAATTTTAAATAATAAAAAATGACACACATATCTACTAACGATTATTGCATAAAGTGCCCAAACAAAATATATATAAAAATATATTTTTATACATGATACAAGAAAATAAAGAATTTTATAATATTTATATTCCTCTCTTTACAATAGAATAACAATAAATTAATAAATTTATACTCTCATCTGTAAATTAATATAAATAAATACGTATAACCAACAATTAACCACTGATGGGTTTATTTGTTTAAACTTAATTTATTTATATATTATGTAGAATAATATTTGCTTCCTATCATATATAAAATTTTCGAACAAATTAAACAAATAAAATTAATCAAACAATTATAGATTAGTTAAAATTTAAATATTATTTTTTAACAAAACTCCAGAAAAATGTGCGAACATAAAAGTCAAGTACGGCTTTGGGTCTCTGACTCTGAGCTTCAAATTTGGCAGGACACGAGTTCAATTCCTGGTACTTGCAGTCTCCAAAAATTATTTACGAGTAATTAAATACAAGAATTATTTCCAAAACCACTGATGACGAGTATTTGGTAATACTCGAAACAGCTGGTATGATCAGCCGAAAATTCAATTAATTAAAATAATATAAAAATGAATTTTAGTTGTTGTAATTCACTAGTTTTCGGAAAACGTCTTTATTGATATTATTTTAATACATTCAATAAAACATTAAATAATTTTTGAATTGCACCATAATGGAAAAATGTGTATATAATAAGCATAAGTATTTTCTTAAAAAAGAAGCAAAAAAAAAATCGGACTACTACTTACCTTAAATGAGTTCCTTTATGAGTGTGTGTGTGTGTAATAGCATATAAAACGCAGCAAATATTACTCCACCTAAATAATAACTTAATTAATAATAATAATAACTTAATTAATAGATTTTAAGTTAATAATAACTTAAAATCTATTTTTAAATAATTTATTTATTTATTAATATTAAAGTTATTGTTAATATTGGTAATTACTATAAATTTTGCAGTAATACAAAAAAACTATTTTATATATACTTTTTTAATAAGAACAAACCAAATATTTCAAACATAGTCAAAGTTTGCGCGAACCACAATAAAAAAATGACATAAAAATTGTATTCAGGATAAACGCGATTGATTCAATGAAAATCAACTACATAATACAAAAGTAATGCATATCAATTAATACAAATGTATATAAAATTATTTCAAATTATAACGCAGAATTAATTTCTCTTATTGCAACGTAGTATAACACAAATATGTAATAACGGACTTTTCCAATGAAATATAATACAATAATGTGTTTATTATTACATACGCAAAAAATTTTGCTATTTATATCAAATATTAGTATCGGTTTATTTGTAATTATAAAAAGATTATACAAAATATTTTATGCTAGAAATTTGTACATGTTTTAAATATATTGCAAAGTTTCAAATATGAAAAAATGACGACTGATCATCAGATATTTAAAACTGTTAAAAAATGGGTTGCCTTTTACCTAATTAATACTAAACTTAAATAAGGATAAATAAAAGGAGTATTATTTAAAAAAAGCATTGAAAAACGAATCCATCAAATTTAGTGGTTTAATAATACCATATTTACATTACTAGCTTTAGTGAACGAAGTTGATTTCAACTTTAGCAAAGGGTTTTCATTTTGACAGTTGTTGTTTTTATTATCTTTTGTTTACATTTTAATACTTGTGAATAATGTGTTCGTTTATCATATATTTTGATGAAAATTATGAATAAAAATTTAATTAAAATGCTCTTCAGTGAATTTGCACAACAAAATTAAATTCTCAATAATAGATTAAATTACATACGAATAAAGCGTCGTAAAATAATTGCCAAAATATTGCAATTAATAGTGGCAAATAAATGTACAAGGCCAAGAAGTGTTTGGATGTAACTAAGATTTTATGAAATACTTTTTATGAATATGTTAATATAACTATCAAATATTTTTACAGGAGAGATAGTTTTGGGAACTTGATGATCCCAGTAACAGCGCAAATTTTTTCAAGAAAAGCTTTCGTATGAATCCCCAATGCTTTGATATTATATGCAACAAAATTGGAGTTATATATGATACATATTCAAAAGGAATATGAGACCAAAAACTACAGATTACAACCACAGCACAAAGACCTATCCAATGACAACAACAGACAAGCAGAAGAAATAAGAAGAGAAATAGCTGATTGTTTTGATTCTTTTTTATTTTCTTACTAATATTTACATTATTTGTATGAACTAACAATAGTTACAAAAACTATATTATAAATTAGTTAATATATATACAAAATTTTAATTATTAGCATGCATTTATTAAACTTATAACTCAACTACAAAATATCAATTTTTTCTGAAATAAGCCGATTCATGACATCTATATTTTCTTTTTCTAAAACCATTGCTTTTTCTCGTTGTTAGAGCAATTGCTTTTCCAGTTTATTTGATTGGTGCAGCTCTTTTATTAAGTCTTTTAACACATCAGTATAAATTATTATAAATGTTTTTGAACTCAATGCATACTATTATATACAGTTAAACTTTCATAATTTGAACTTCTATAACTCAAACCAAAAACAGTGCACCGAGGTTTTAAAGAGCAAATTACATACAATTCTGCTTCCATAACTGGAACTTCTATAACTCAAATTTCTTTATAACTTTATATATTCTTTAGGAATATGAGAATTTTTGTTTTAGGTATAAATTCATTTTGCTGTTAGGGGGAGTGCCTTTTTTCAAATCAAATGTTTAATTTTTTCTTTCCTTTGCTGCTTCTTTTTACAAATGTCGCTGGCAGCGTGGTTTAAAATAAATATAACAACTTCCAACTTAACTCTTAACTACTCTTAACAATTATATTGAGTTTCGACAATGAAATTTGTACATCAAGTTCTCCTACAGATGACGATATTATTGAGCACTATAGCTCTAAATTACTGGATACAATTCTAAGCGCAACGAAAAGTGATGATGAAGGTGGATGTAATTGTTCATCAGCCTTCCAAGAATGAAATAGTTGATCTCACCAGATTTTACATAAAGCTGTTCCATTAAAATTTAGTGAAGGCCGTACTCTGACATTTTATCGCTCTTAGTTTGCAGTTTACTTCTGTTTTAGTTGAGTTTTACTATGAGAAGCTCGTGGCAAACTTCTATCTTTACTTCCAAAATTGTTTGTTTTACATAGAGTTTTATAATAGTGTTTTTTCGTCATAAATTGCGTCACATTCGACATTAACGCTTATTTTTGTAGTTTAGCATGCTAAATAAAAATCGGAGACGCT